TTTTTTTTTTTTTTTAATATTAGTTAGATTACTTAACCACACTAATATTAACAATTTGTTGCTTGAAATGGGTATACATATGTATGTAAATGTATGTATATGGATGTACTCTATACTATATAAGGCATGAAAATTTTGATAATTAATCTATTTATATTTGCAAAAGTTGTTTGTGTGACCACCAAACACATTAAAAGTAGCTTGAATGTATTATGTATAAAAGTACTGTTCCTTAACGCAAGTATGTTTATTTTTATTAAGTTTAACTCATTACAATAATCTAGTGCTACTTTCTATGTACAAAATGTTATAGCATGCTGCCACACGCAGAGCTCGAATGTATGCATTATATAAAAAAAAATTAATTTACATTACACACGCTACGAGCTATGAGTGTATACGGAAGAGCGTGGTCCACAATTTACAACTGCTTCATTTTTTCAGCTTCCTTGCGTGCCTTGAATCCACGAAAGCTTGACTGAATTTTTACTGCTGCATCTGTTGCGATTTTCTGCTTCTTTCTCACGAGGAAGCCTCGGAATCCTGCTTGAATTTTGATAGCTGAGCGCGCCTCGACAGAGTTGACGTCTGACAGGGCGGAGACGTCATTAGCCTTAGGAATCTGCTTCTGATTATCTTCCATGGTATCGTATGTGTGCGAGCACTGCTGACGTTGCTGACGTCGAACACCACTCGACGGCTGATGACGATTGCCGAAGCGTTGGCCGATGTTACGAGAACTATTCGATTTGGATATGCGGTATAGCTGTTTCCTCACACGATAGCCTCGAAAACCAGCTTGTATCTTGGTGGCTGCACTTTCTTCGGATTGCAATGATGACTCGGATTCGGGCGAGCTCGGATATATGTACATGATCTTTAGCAGCACAACTGAAACAAAACTGTATTTTGATTTTCCAGGCAATTACGCAGCGGCTGTGCTCTCATCTACAATCAGAGAAAATACAAAACTTCTATGTGAAGTAACTCCTTCACACAATAGCTCTCTGTTTCTTTATTCGTCTGGTATCTATTTGAACTGACTCTTACGAGAGCTATAATTGTACTGACGTATATATAACGGAATTGGCTGCTGTGCACCGAGAATTTTCATTTAATTTTTCCATTCACAAAACAAAAGGCCCCACTCATCGTTTATGCTCTCGTACCTACCTCACATGCCGCCCCCACCTCTGATGTGTTACGTATTTGTATCTCTTTTATATTTGTATACATTGTATACACAAACCTAAATACATATGTACATACGTACAAATACGCTTGTGTATATACGCTTGTATGTAAATATTGAAAGTACATACATACATACATAAATGTACTCGTACGTTCAACATACCCATGTACATATGTATGTGCCTAGCATGTTTTCTACATACATACATATATGTATTTTATTGTATTCGTGAATTTGCGTATTCGAATCTATGTATGTATGTACATACATATGTATGTCCAATAGTACGTATGCAGTCAGATCTGTGTGTATCTTGCTCTTTTGAAAATTGAAAATTGAAAAGTCGCGGATGCTTATGACGTTAATGATTGTACTCTGTTCCCACAGGGAATAAATAGTTTATTGAATTTATAGCCGTTGCTTATTTATGTTCGTTCAAGAACATTACGTTTCGGTATTGTGTTTCGGTATTCTTTCTTTATATATATTTTAATTGAAAAATGCAATTGAAGATAAAAGTGTTCAATATATCATCAGTCATCTCATATTTTTGCTTGTCTGTTTATTAGAATTCCATGTTGTGGACAATTTAAAAGATTCTTTCCAAACACTACTTTATGATTCGAATCATTAATTTACATACTTTATGGATTATTCTTTGCCTCTACCTACATACATATATGAGTACAAAGCCAATAATACTTAGAACTCGGACTATCAATGAGTTTGGAATTTATCTATGATTTATCATTGTATTAATTTTTTCAATTTTCTTGGTATTTTGCAGGTCTTAATTTTATGATAACAACTAATTAATCTATATAGCCTCGTTTATTTTATTCAGATCAAAACTCGAGGAAAAGTATATAAAATATGCATTTATGACATACACACATGAACAGACATAGATTATTATATTTGCATAAACAAAGTAAATCTTATTTCATCATACCGGATATTTATATATACACACTAAGTACTACTACAGTGGCAAATGTATTCAAAGAATATGTTTTGTATACCCTGAGGCCACTGAAAATTTGAAATCAGGGTAGAATGATTTTGTTGAAATGTATGTAACAGGCAGAACGAGGCGTGGTAGACCCCACAAATTACATATATTCATGATCAGGGTGACTAGCTGAGGCGATTTGGCTCTGTCCGTCCGCTTGAACGCAGGTCCGTCTCGCTGTATTTATGACTGCTTCGATTTTAGAAGATATGAGCTAGGGACTTCAAATTCATACGAATATAGCGCGCATATCGACTTTATCTCCAAAAATCGATATCTCATCCCATTCTTTTGTTATCGATTAAAAACATTATCAAAACTCAGCTATAAAATTTTATCTCCTACATCTTTAAAATTCAAATTTTAAATTTAGATTCATATGTACTTTTTATGATTACTTAAGTTTTGGTAAATGTACGCATTTCAATGTTATAATCACGTCCATCCACAAGAAAAGTTATTAAACAATTAAGTTTCCGTTGTGCGAATAAGTATTGAAATATCGAAGGGTTCAGGAGATTACGTAGATGAGCACTCTCAAATCTTAATTGTTTTAATAAAACATACTTCAATTTAGTTTTACACATTCGATAGCTGACTTATGTATAGAGTTTAGGTTTACAACTTGGATTGATAATAATTTTATTAAAGGTTTTTTAAAATATATATAATAGGTTCCATATTAATAAATCAAGATTAGTACTTGTTTAGCAAATGCGATATAGCATCTTCCGTTGCATCCTATGTTGAAGTTCTCCTCGGCGAATCATCGTATGAATGACTTTCATTACAGTTCGTTCCTCATACTTTTGGCGTAAAAAGTCCTAAGGATTACGAAATACATTATTATGTTATTTAAATTTTATTGACATGATTTGTTACAGATTATTACCTGCAAAATATTTTGCTCAGAAACCTGAGATCCGATAGCAAATCGTCGTTTGAGTTGCTTTTCTATGCGATTTAATGTATCCTGATCTTCCTCAGTGGTGAATCCCTCCGCTCCAGCTAGACTACCGGTCATAGCCGCATCAAGCGTAGATACTTGAAAAAGTCGAAGTGCTTCATTTACATGCTCATCCGTAGCAAACGGTAATAAACGCATTTTCGCCAACGATTCTGAAATTCGAATGATAGCTTCCAGCTGCCGCACTGTTATTGGAATACAATGCCGTTTATCTGCAGACTTCTCCTGCTGCCCAGCGCCACTTCGCATTAGAACATAACGACTTTTTAGTTTTTCTCCAGCCGCTTCACTTAGGCGCGGGCCACAATGTGTGCGACAATAATGGATATATTTCTTGAACATGGACAATGAAATTTCACCTTCTGCAGGATCGGAGGGTGCTGATTTGTTCGAGCTCAAATGCACATTTATTATATGCTTCGCCAAAGTGATGTCTCGAGCCTCATCGTGAACATCCTTCACAATAAATATCATGTCAAAACGTGACAGAATCGTTGGCATGAAATCAATATTTTCTTCGCCCTTTGTATCATCCCAACGGCCAAATATTGAGTTGGCAGCGGCAAGCACTGAGCAACGTGAATTTAGTGTGGTTGTAATACCGGCTTTTGCAATCGAAATGGTTTGCTGTTCCATTGCTTCGTGGATAGCAACGCGATCGTCCTCGCGCATTTTGTCGAACTCATCTATACAAACTACGCCACCATCAGCGAGCACCATAGCGCCACCTTCCATAACAAAATTACGCTATGAATAAGATATAAATATAAATTAGTGAAATCTCTTAAGTCAAACCATCCAGATAATAAGTGTCATACCGTATGCGGATCCTTCATAACCGAAGCTGTAAGACCAGCTGCACTAGACCCCTTGCCGGACGTGTAAACTCCAATGGGAGCAACTTTTTCAACGAATTTGAGGAGCTGAGACTTGGCAGTACCCGGATCTCCCAAGAGTAATACATTTATATCGCCACGGCGGCAAAGACCGTCCGGAAGACGTTTTCGCGATCCACCAAAGAGCATGCACGTAATGGCCTTCTT